TGATATAAGTGTGGCTCTAGTCACGGAACTACAACAATGCAGACCGGACCATCTAACAGTTTATACATCTCCAATCTAAAAGTACTAACAAAAGTGTCATGGACAATCCCCATGCTCACTCAAATAAGGCAACATGCCCAACATTAGTCTCAACAACAACATATCATAAATAGCGGAAAACATAAACAGCATCCCAAATCCAGTCATGCTAACATAAAGCAGTAAAACATAATCAGCTAAGCTCTGGCCTCCTGCCGCCCGAGGCATCAGTACCCATACTACCTGATCCTGAAATAAGCATTCCCCAAACGTGGGGTAAGATCTCTAATCTAGAAATCTCAGTAAGTGAGTCCTCAAGGATCTTCCACCCCAAGCTCACTTACATGTGCAATATAAGTTCAAAAGAAATTTATCATTTATCATTTCTAAAACAATGCAATGCAGCAGATAATCATGCTATGTGTATCAATACTAATCTACTGGCTAGAGACAGTGCAAGTATACGTCTATCACCTACACACCGTGCAAGTACCACTTGCATTCACCCCGGTACACCGTCTTGTATGGCACTACATACTCAGGCTTCCCGTCAAGATGAAACAACACATGCATATTAAAAGCCATTACATGTAAAGTTCAATCAACATATCAAATATTCAAAAGCATGTACACAGCATGCATAAACCATACCCCCATGGGACATGGTGGAACCACAACATGGCTAAACTGAGGACACGAAAGCTTACCTTGCAAGCTAACTCCAAAAGCCAAGAGTCCACAGCTCAAAGTCCAAACACAGTAGATTCACAATCTGTTATGGACCAACAATACATCAACAACATGCACCACAAGCATACAATATTAAGACAACGCCTTTTCATTACGTTTTCAAGTCTTAAAGCTTCTAACAAAGCCACAAGCCCTTAATCCCATGATTCTGGCTTAATCCATTAAATACAGAAGTTCAACTTCATCAAACTAGGGTCCACAAACCCCCAATAGCCTACTGTACACACAGCACAGCTGCTGTTCTGCGAAATCCCAGAATATCCAGATATCTCACTGTCCATATCCGGATATGCAATATCCGGATATACAGATTCACATATCCGGATATCCAATATCCGGATATCAGTTCGACAAATATCCGGATATCTCACGACAGAATGCAGTTTCTGCATTTTCGTGAAGATATCCCAAAAAGGTTCCCTTTTTACCGATTTTAAACACCTAATCATGCATTTCTAGATGTGTTAAGCCTCACCCAACAACAAGTTATCATCTTTTAACCTTAACATGCATCAAACTTTCATTTTTAAGCATTAAACTCATGATTAAAGGTTGGTATACATACCAAAGGCCAAAACATAAGAAGAGGTTGCTCTTTGGAGCTCACAATCAGTCTCAAGCTACCGTCACAAGAGGATGCACGAAAATGAACACAAGATGACTCTTTTACTCAACAAGAAGACACCTTGAAGCATCAAAATGCCAACAAAAGGTCACACCCCTCAAGAACAGCAAACACAGCTCTTCAAACTCCCTCACACGGGTTCTCTAACTCAGAAACACCACCCCAATGTAGTCCCAAGGCCAACCCTCACCCTCACCAAGTGTATCCCAAGTGAAAGTGTGAAGAAAAATCAAAAAAGGAAGTGTCTTGGACCCAAAATGGAGAAGAAACCCACAAGTCAGCCACCCTCGCTCTCACGTTCAAAATCTGTTTTCTAGGGCATTGTGCCATTAGAAATGGGTATTTATAGCCCAAGCCACTTAAACACACAGTGTTAACTTTAATTGCTACGCTTAGCATTTTAATCCCAAACTTTGGATTATGAAACTACATAATTTTCTAAGATTTATCATATTTTTCTTATAATTTTCTGAGCACTTTTTCGGTACGCGCTTTTCCAAGCCAGTACCGGTTTCCAGCACCAGTTCTCATTATCTGGACTTGAAACTCGTTTTACAAGTCCTACATATTATTATAGTAATTATCATGCACTTACATTAATTTTCCAGGATACTTTTTCGGCACGCATTTATACCGACTAGCAGAACCGGTATCTGCACTTTTCTTCCGAAAAGCGACTTTCAGCATTCTTAAGCACTTATTACGATTATTAAGCCTCATAAATAATTATTAGGGTCAATTATGGAATCATTTCCTATTTTCTCGTAATTTATTAATTAAATTCCTTAATTAACGGTGCAGATTCTTACATTTGTTGCCCTTGCGGTCTTATCTGACTCGATCAAATTAGTCAAATAATTAATAACGATTGTGTTTTGATATTTTTTGCCTTCTCTCTCCTTCTAATGTTGTGGAAGAATGGGAATATAAAAAAGTATCAAATATATACCAAAATACAATAATCTTACTTAAAATGATAGAAAAATGGTTTCTTTAAAATGACCAACATTTTTTCCTGATAAAGAATAGGTTCATTTTTTCTGCAGTCAATATAAATAAATTATCTACGAGCCCCAAACGACGTCGTTTTGAAATGGAAATTGTTGAGATATATAGTCCCACATTGGTTGTATGTGCAACGAATGTAAAGTTTATAAGGCCTTAGGCACTCCCACCCTTTGAGCTAGTTTTTGGGGTGGTGTATCCCAAGGTTCTTTACATGGTATTAGAGCTTCATCGCACTCCACTTTCTCTTGTGGATTTTCTTAGCACAGGTAGGCTGAGCCTGTTGCATCTTCCACTCTTCAAGCCCAATGGGCTCTCGTGTGAGGGGGCGTGTTGAGATATATAGTCTCACATTGGTTGTATGTGCAACTAATGTGGAGTTTATAAGGTCTTGGACACTCCCACCCTTTGAGCTAGCTTTTGGGGTGGTGTATCCCAAGGTTCTTTACATAAATCAGAGTATTTTTGTATTTATAATTTATTTTAGGGTTATATAGTCTTTCTTATTATAATTTTTTAATCTTTAAACCCAAAACGACATTATTTTGGGAGTGAATGTCGATACCTTATCTACATTCACTGTTGAAACATTAAAGCCATAAAAATATATAAATTAAATAGAATTGTAAAAATATCTTTTAGAGAGAAAAAAAATATTCCTAGGAAGGATGAAGTATCCACTTCTGAAGTGGCCATTGCCCATTGGATAAGCAAATAGGGATCCCACTGATAGGAAGAAACGGTATAATAAAGGATTTAGTATATTATTGGGTTTGAAATTGTGTACACTCATTGTATATTTCGTAACTTTACGAACAAAGTTATCTCATAAGGGTTTATTAAATTATTATCATTAAGACTAAGATTAAAAGATAATTTATAAATATGTTACGGAATAGTATTTTTGGGGAATTTTAATCATGCACAATTTTATAATAAAATATGTATTTTTTAATTTATTGAAAATGAATCGATGTTGATTGTTATTTTAAAAAATAAAAAAATCGGAGGTTAAAAAAAATATAAAAAGTAAAAAATTATAAATGAAAGAAATAAAAAGTCAAAAACTAAAATAGCATAATTATGTGGGAAAAGATTCATTTACAAAAAAAATTTACAAATTTTTCCAAAATACACTATGTACTCCAGAAAATATATAGTATAATCTAGTGTATTTTTGGAAGTACATAGTATAGTTTATAAAAGTTTGTAAATAAAATTATATAATATTAAATGTGATTCATATCCATGGGTTTTGTCACCCAGATTTAGTTCGTTGGATACTGAGATTTTGGGGAGGTTTAAGTTCAATTTGTCGTACTTTTTTATTTTACTGAAATAGCTAGGGTTATCGGTTGAGTTAAGATCCAATTTGAACATTGCCAAAAAGCGCGCATATATAAACTTTGATTATCGAATTATGTGGCTAATATTTAACTTTGATCTAATTTCAAATGTAATACAATTGTAAGTTCCAACAATCTGTCACATGGTGCTGGGAAAATACCACATTCCCTTTTTCATCTGGTTGCATAAATGTTTATAATTAAAGAAAACATCATACAAATTACAAACCACGTACAAAATTTAATATGATTTTATCCAATATATATTTATACTTATGGATAAGAAGAAATCGAATTCATTATAAACACTATTTTAAATAAAGCTGCAATCTCTCATACTCTATAACCTTTTTTTTTTTTTTTGGTAGTCTTCATACTCTATATCCTTTGCATAAATAATAAAACTGCAAATCTTCCTTGAAGCAGCTTTTCCATCTACAAAATAGCAATTTGCAAACTATCCTCCATCACAATTTTGAAAGACAAAATTACAAACTATCTGTCAATGACTCAATTGGCATGGTAACATTACTTACAAATTTTCTCACTCTCATTATTATGCTTTAAACTATTGTTCAGTACAAGTATATATATTTTAAAATAAGTTACCATCTTTACATATTCTCTTTTACTTTCCTAATTTTCTATTCAAAATAAATCTTACACATGTAGCATATATCTTATAAATCATACACATATCTTGATATTAATTATAAAATCAAGAGTCTACTAACAAAATAATACCTGTCTATAACAATAATTAAATTAGGAATTTGTCAAACCCAACACATGTTATATGGCTTATGAATGAAATTACGATATAGGCACAAGGTGGGATCGATAACTTGAATCTCTTGAAGAAGAAAAAAAGTAAAATAAAATAAAATCTTTCGGATCATTGATACTTGAAATCATCCTTTCATTTTTCTTAAATCTTACAGGAAAATTGTATCTGAAAAAAACTTAAAAGCATAAAATAAAGGATGGATGAACAGTTTGAGTTGGACACAAAATGAAACGCCTAATTGCAATTGCTTCAATATTGATGTTTAATTGCTACAAGGATGAAAATTAAAGTTTATACAGTTGTATCAGTATTTCTCCAAATACATACAAAAATCATTTAGAGGTTTATAGAAACCTATGGCAGATTTTGTACATGGTGTATTATGCAAGTACTAATATCAGGATAAGTAATATAATAATAAAACTGTAGTGAAAGAAGGGAAGACCGGTCAACTTCAGATTTTCAGTTTGTGCATCAAGCTTTCATATCATTCATTCCAACACTAGCCTGGAATAAGAACAAAATCAAAGCATCAAATGAAATCTAATTTATATGTTTTCTAAGCCCGTTTCACATTCTATAAAATCAAAATTGTGCTAAACAATTTTATATGATAAACTTCAACTTAAAGTAATTTTTGGATCATTCTGTAAATAGTATGGTAAAAAATCATACCAGGTATTGATGATTCTCTGCAAGCACTGAAGAGAAACCGGTACAGAATTTTTCCATATCAGAATCAAAGTCCCCTGTACCACTGATTATCTCCATGAATTTTTTTCTATCTGGCAATAGCTTAATTGCAACCTGAAATTCAACAGAATGGTGTTGGAAAGCTGAATAGATTAAAAGAATCCTCTTCTGAGCTGCATTTTGCAATTTATACTTTTCCATCATTACAAAAATATGTCCAAGATTTTAAACATCTAAGATCCTACATAAATGACAAAACTATGTGGTATGAGACTCAACAATGACAATTAGAGCATGAAAGTGTATTTTGAAACTCAAAGCTAAATGGATAAATCTCATCTTGTGATATACTTAAGATAATTATCCTCTCAAAGAAAGAAAATCTCTCCAACTGAATTTTTGAGTGTTTGATAAAAGCTCATTTGGACAGAAATTCGATCAGTGCTTTTTTTTGTCCTAAGAATATAAGCTTAAACTTTTGATAATTCTATTAAATAAGAATACAATTTACACCGAAACTTGAACTAGCTAGCCAGCCATGCCACGGTTTCAATGTCTTGTTGTATGAATCAGCACAAGCACGTCGCATGCTCCAATCCTCATGTTCCCGTAAGTTGCTGAACATTTGTACCGTGAAATCCATGCTCCTATGAAATTGTGAACAAGATATCAAAAACAGGTTGAAGCTCAGCAATCACTAATATAAGCATTAAAGCACAAATAATACATACCGTGACAGCCATAGCAGGCTATTTGTGCAGCTAGATGAAACTTTTTCTTTTTTAGCTTCAACCTCTTTTTGCACTACAGTGAATAACAATTTGTATTCAGAAGGGTCGGACTCATACTTAGACTGCAACCTCTACAAGGATCAAAGATGAGATATATAAGTTACCAGAGAATATTTACAAGAACATGCAAGTGAACTGACAAATGAAAAGCTTCAATCAAGGCAACAACCTAATTGTCAGCTTACCAATATGTTACCACCAATATCAGATTTTACAAATGAAAATGCTCCTCCAAACTTATCTGAAACCACATAAACAATCAAGATTCAGCATCTAATGCCATTGAAAAATGAAATGTGAAACTTTGAGAAACCAGAAGTTTGACCAGATTTATGTCTCTCCTAAGGCTTTAAGGCTCGAATTTACCATATAGCAATGGTTATTGAGGCTATCCACTATCCAGGGAAAGGGGCTTGTGTTGGAAACTGTTGTGCAACCAACTCTCCCAAAAATTTAAACTATTAGGTGGAAACACATAAATGATTTTTATATTGAATTTCTAAAAGAAACTACCCAGAGAAAGTCATGCACTATCTCCTACTCCACTTGGAAAAGGAATTTCTAAATCTACCATGTATAATAGCACTTGCTCCCAGAATACTAGTTATGAAAAAAACTACTTCTAATGATACAAAAAAATAGTGAGAGATCAAAAACAGAATATGTTCTGATCTCAGTAAGGATAAGAATCTTAACAGTTGATGTGTACCTATCTATCTACCTAGCTAACTATATATATCACTCAAGGATTCAAATCAAGCCTCAACAGTCAACAGCTACGGACAAGAGCCTTATAAACTGCAGAAGTCAGCACCAACTGTGAAATTTTGTAGTATTTCATTCATACCATTATCTATAAAGGTTACTTAAGTTGCCTAGACAAAACCAGAAAGACATGAAAATAAATGAAGACGTATATATCTGCTGTAATTCCTAAGGAATACATTTCCCTGCATAATATTTAACTTGGAAACTATAGTCATTGAACCCACGGAAAAAATTGATACACTTTATCTGAGTTAAGTTAAGGATATTAAATTTCAAGCAGAAGACATACCTATAACAGGTAATAAACTATTGCATATATCTAAGAAAGGTTTTGTGAGTATCTTTCCCTCTTCAGACCTAACTTTCGCCAACCCCTCCAAAGCCGTACTGAATACAGATCCTTCCACTTCCATTCTTGTGCTGTAAATATCAATGTCAGTGAGATTGTCATCACTTATAATGCAGGAAAAAAAAAAATTTGATACCAAAATAACAAAAACGAAATTGTCCTAATTGTGCAATATGCGGTTTCTTAAGTCATCTATATTTAATTTCAATGTCTATGATACCCCACAATCTCTACAAAATGTCACGCTGTAATTAACCGCAAATATGGAGGGACATGCACACTTAAGATCTAAATAAACCAATCTAATCTCACCAATAAAATCAGAATTTAATCATCTACCTTCACCAGGAATGGTTTGTTCGAGAGAGAACTTATCTAAGCCAGAAAACAACGTAGTATTTGTATAGCAATCTATTTTCAATTTGAAGACTTTGAACATTATCTATGTTCATGCATGGCTGAACCAACAAATAATCAGAGTTAAAATTGAGAATTGTGTTTGTAAAGAAGAACCTGTTCAAGACGGGAGCATTACCGTTTCTGTTTGCGAATTCTCAGAAACAGATACCGTTAATTCTGGTACTTGTTTCATTGTCTGCAACCACAAACAGACAACATCGTTTTTCCATTTTATATTTTGAACATTTCCATCTGTAGACTATTGGGCTTTTGGAAATTGGGCCTTATAACTATGTAATTTTCTTTAACAAAATCCAATTTCTTTGAAGTCCAACTTTACTTCAAAGTGGTGTTATACCATTATTCTTGATACTTTAGATTTAAAATTAATCATAATTGTTATCCAAAAAAAAAAAAATTAATCATAATTAACAGATTAAAAAATCATACAAAATTATTTTATCTCTAATTGTATTTAATTAATGTGTCAAACTCATTCTTAACTTTCAATTCTTAAAAGGAAAAAGGTACTCAATAAATGTAACTCAGTTGGTAAAACAATTTAAATAGGTGAGAAAAAATCTGAGTGCGATTCTGATATGAGCCCAAGCCCAACAACCAACACCACAAGCCCAATAACCGACACAGCAACTCTCAGTGAGACAAGTCCATGCATGTGTGTAGAAGAAATAGTGGATCGAGTGATATCAACCACAAACCACTCACATGAAGAGGAAAGAGGTTGAGCAAATACAAGCTCAGCAAGAGAGCCCAATGGAGACGATGGAAGGAGACATGCCAGGGAGATCTAGAAGGAGACCGAAAAGACTAGATGGGGAGAACTACATATGGTAGGAGCAAGGTTACTATAGCAGTAACCATGATTAGTATTCTGTTATGTAAATCAAAGAGTAGCATATGGGTTAGTTAGAGCAATTCGGTTAGCTGGATTATGATTGTATAAATAGGGAGTTGAATATGAAGAGAATCATCTGAATTGTAATCGTCATTGTTTGAATAAGAATTCTTTTTTCTCATCTCTCTTCTTGTTCTGTTTTATCAGTAGGTCAATCCTATCAAGTGGTTCTTTCATCCTTGAATGATGGCTCCCGAGACACGTGCTCGTTCAATCGACGATCGTTTGGACCAAACGCAATCGGAGGTGGAAGGTTTGAAGGACCAGATGCACAAGAAATTTCAAGAAATTACATGCAAGTTGGACGCGATCTTTGATAGTTACAGGGAGCGTACTCAATCTCCATCTTCTTCTGGACACAGCAACTTAGGGCAAAATCGTGAGTCAGCAGCAACGCGTAATCTTCGCATCAAAGTTTCTCGGTTTGATGGCTCTTCTGACCCACAAGGTTGGATTTACAAAATCAATCAGTATTTTGATTTTCATGACATTGAGGAAGATCAACGTCTTCGTATAGCTTCCTTTTATCTCGATGGGAAGGCTCTATCCTTCTATCAGTGGTTCCACAAGAATACCAAGATTGATTCTTGGGATTCCTTTTTGCAATCTCTGCAAGTTCGTTTTGGACCCTCCGAATTGGAGGATTATCAGGGCAAGTTATCCAAGTTGACACAGAGAGGATCTGTCACCGAATATCAGGAGGAATTCGAGACCTTGTCTAATAAGGTTGATGGTCTTTCTGAATCCTTTCTCCTTAGTTGTTTCACTTCTGGCCTTAAACTTGTGATTCAATAAGAGGTAAAATTGTTTCGCCCTACCACCTTAACTAGTGCTATATCCCTAGCCAAAATTCAGGAATCAAAACTGCAATACAAAATACCTACCCCAAATTATATTCCCCACACCCTCCATTACTGCCTAACCCACCAGTATCCACCAATTCCACACCTTCTACTACCAATAGCCAGAATACTACATTCAAACCTACCACCCACCGTTTATCCCAAAGCCAAATACAAGAACGTAGGGATAAAAATTTGTGTTTTACTTGTGGTGACAAGTATTTCTTTGGGCATAAATGTAAAGCTTCCGTTCATATACTGATTGTGCCGGATGAGGAATTGTTGCTCTCTACAGAGGCAGACATCACAGAGCCTGTCAGTGACTCAATTCAGGAAGATCCCACTTCCTTTGATCCATCCACGCCCCAAATCAGCTTTCATGCCTTATCTGGTTGTGTTGTGCCACAAACACTTCGATTCACAGGACATATTGGTAAGTCTGCTATGGTGGTCTTAATAGATGGGGGGAGCACACACAATTTCCTCCAACCGAAGGTAGCATCTTCTTTAGGCCTTCCATTGTCATCTGATCGACAGTTTGATGTGATGGTTGGCAATGGACACATGCTTAAGTGTGAAGGTTTCTGTCCTGCGGTTCCTGTTCAAATTCAGAAGCACATTTTTTTGATTGATTTTTATGTCTTACCCATACAAGGGGCGGACTTGGTGCTTGGTGTGCAATGGCTACAAGGCCTTGGTCCTATTGTCCTCGATTACAACCAACTCACTATGGAGTTTTCTTGGGATGATGCTTCAATTCAGCTACAAGGGGACAAGCATCAATCTCCAATGTCCTTCAATCAGTTCAAGAAAATGCAGCAGCAAGGTCAAGTGGCCTTTCTATTCCAATTAACTCTTCTGGACTCATATACAAACAGAACCGAAACTGCATTGGACCACCAGGTGGCACAATTGTTGGAAGAATTTGCTGGTGTATTCCAGGAACCAAAGGATTTACCACCTCATCGCCAACTGGATCATGCCATACACTTGGAGCCTCACTCCAAACCAGTCAATGTTAGGCTATACAGGTACCCTCAATTCCAAAAAAATGAAATAGAAAAACAAGTGCTTCAAATGCTTGAGTCTGGTTTCATTAGAAATAGTACTAGTCCTTTTTCTTCCCCTGTTTTATTAGTAAAAAAAAAGGACGGATCCTGGAGATTTTGTATTGATTATCGTGCTTTAAATAGTATTACAATTAGAGATAGATTTCTTATCCCTACTGCTGATGAACTGATGGATGAGTTAGGGGGTTCCCAAATTTTTTCTAAATTGGATCTAAGGGCGTGATACCACCAAATTCGTGTCACTCCTACTGATATCCATAAAACTGCCTTTCGCACACACCAAGGACATTATGAGTTCCTTGTGATGCCATTTGGCCTCACAAATGCCCCCTCCACCTTCCAAGCTACTATGAATTTGATTTTACAGCCTTTTCTTCGTCGTTTTGTTGCTGTTTTCTTTGATGATATATTAATATATAGCTCTTCTCTGGAGTTACATTTGCATCATCTGCGTTCAGTTCTGCTTACCTTGCAAAAACATCAATTTTTTGTTAAAAGAAGCAAGTGTTCTTTTGGACAAAAAGAGGTAGAATATTTGGGGCATATAGTCTCAGTTTCTGGGGTCAGTATGGACCATAATAAAATCAAAGATATGTTGGAGTGGCCAGTCCCTACACACTTGAAGCAGTTAAGGGGATTCTTGGGCCTTACAGGCTATTATAGAAGATTTGTTAGTGGTTATGCTTCAATTGCTGCCCCTCTCACGGACCTGCTCAAGAAGTATTCTTTTCAATGGAATGAGAAGGCACAACAGGCTTTCAATCACCTCAAGACTGCAATGACTTCAGCACCAGTTCTGGCCTTACCTGATTTCACTCAAGAATTTGTAGTGGAAACAGATGCTTCAGATTTGGGTATTGGAGCTGTCCTCCTTCAACAAGAGCATCTCATTTCCTATTTTAGCAAGAAATTGACCTTAAGAATGCAAAAGGCTTCTGCCTATGTCAGGGAATTATATGCCATAACAGAGGGAGTTAAAAAGTGGAGGCAATATCTTTTGGGCAGAAAATTCCTCATCAGAACTGATCAAAAAAGTTTAAGAGCATTGCTGGATCAGGTAATCCAAACACCAGAACAGCAGCACTACTTGGCTAAGCTTTTAGGCTTTCAGTATACAATTGTCTATAAACCTGGAAAGGATAATAGGGTGGCTGATGCCCTCTCTAGGTACCCTACACAGTTGTCTTTCACAACACAATCTGTGGTGCAAGTGGATCTCCTAAAAAAATTACAGCAAGAGAATTTGCATTCTGCCTTCTTCCAAGAGAAGTACAGCAAACTGTCTATGTCTGATGATAACAGCAGCTCTTTGGAAGTCAGAAATGGGTTGTTATTGGAAAAGGGAAAACTCCTTATTGATCCCTCTTCTCCCTTGGTTCAACAAATTATACAGGAGTTTCATTCTACTCTGGCCAGTGGACATTCAGGCATTCAAAAAACCATGGCTCGGGTAACAGCATCCTTCAAATGGCCTGGCCTTAAACAAGATGTCAAGAAGTTTGTCCAATCTTGTTCAGTTTGTCAGCAAGTCAAGTATCAAACTCAGCCTCCAGCTGGTTTGTTGCAACCTATTCCTATACCACAGAGGATATGGGAATACTTGTCAATGGACTTTATTACAGGATTACCTTTATCTCATGGCCATACTACCATTCTAGTGGTTGTTGATCGTTTATCCAAACAAGGCCATTTTGGGTCCCTGCCACAAAAGTATACTGCTGCCAAGGTGGCAGATTTATTCACACATTTAGTTTGCAAATTGCATGGTCTTCCCAGGTCCATCATTTCAGATCGAGATTCGGTGTTTCTTAGTAAGTTTTGGACTGAATTGTTTGAG